GCCTTTTGTTTCTGATCATGGGGCGTTCTTGGCAAAGATACTGGAGTGGCTTGCCATTTCCTACTCCAGGTGGATTGCGTTTAGTCGGAACTCTCCACTATGTCCTGTCCGTCTTGGGTGTCCCTGCACGGCATAGCCCATAGCTTCTCTGAGTTACTCAAGCCCCTTCGCCACGACAAGGCAGCAATCCATCGCCCCAGCTGGGCAGGAATCAGGATCCTTCCTCTCTGACTCCCCGGAGCGTCTGGTCTACGATTTAGGGACCTAGTGGAGCCTTTCCTTTTAATATGGGAGAGCCGCACTAGATTTCAAGCTGCTTTTGAACTTGTGCTTTTTAAAAACTGAAGTGGAAGGGGAGTGGCTGTTCCGAAAACTCAAGAAGCCAGATCCTTCGTTATCATTGCGGTAGAAAGCAGCTGAAAAGCAGGACCGTTTTCCAGAAAGAAAAGGCGATTTATTAAATTCCAGGTTAAATGCACAGGCAGCCGATGGCATTTGGTGCCTGAAGTAAAAGACAATATAGCGCAGACATCCATATCATTTACACAAGCCAGCTAGATAAGCAACACCAGTGATATGACAGCATCCTTCATCTCACCAGAGGATACTAGGCTAGTTTGAAGGATGTAAGGCAAGTTTTTCTAGAACCCACCACTTTCTTCTTTAACAGAGGAAAATGAACAGTCAAGTGGTTGGTACTGTTGCCTTTCTCATTGCCCAGTACCTGATGCCTGAGCAAACTGTTTCACTGTACTCAGTGGTAGAACTGGCCTTGGTGTACAACAGTATTGCAGCTTATTCTCGAAGGCTTTCACGACCGGGATCCAATGGTTGTTGTAGGTTTTTCTGGCTGTGATCTTGAGGTTTTTCTTCCTAACGTTTTGCCAGTCTCTGTGGCCAGCATCTTCGGAGTACAGGAGTCAGAACTCTGCCTGTGCTCTGGTGCAGTTTGTGGGACAGTTGAGTATTTATAGCTGTGGGATCAGCTTTTTGTCCTTTTTAGGAAATTGGGTAATTATGGTGATCGGCATGTTTGTTGTGGGTGTATTGTCGTGATAAGGGGGAGAGATGATATGTCACTGTGATTGATGGGGGTCGTTAGCTGGTCTTTTGTGTGCAGTGATCACAGGTCCTTGTGGCTGGGTAGAGTTCATTGACCTTTCTCAGGCTGTGTTTTTCAGTGCTGGGAGCCAGGCTTTGTTGAGTTTTAGACTTCTTTTTTGTTGAAGCTCTGCTGGTGTTTGTGGATTGCAGTTATCAAAGAGAGAATGTATATGAAAAGCATGCAATCAGGTATGGGAGTTAGTTGGAGAAATGTATTGACAGGGAGAACTAGAATGGAACATAGTCATTATTAATACATATAGATAGCAATGGTCAACAACGAGTTTCCAGCACTGTTGTTGATTGTGTGATTTCTCTTATGTCCTTTCAGGTTGCTTCCAACTTAAGCACAGTAACCCTAGTAGGGTTTTCAAGGAATGTGAGATATTCAAGGAGTGATTTATAGTTTCCACGAGCTGCATCTTCCACAATAATATATTCACAAACCAAAATCCTTTGGATTTCTTCCTGGGAGAGGGCACAAAAGGGGAAGGAGTGGCATTCACTGCTCTTCCTCTGTGCTTCCTACCCTTTACTGATTATCTGATATTGTTGCAATGAGAACAAAACTCTACATCAGGTCTAGGGTGGTTATAATATTTATCTTTGGTGTGGGAAACTGGGACAGCTTTGAATTCCATTGCTCTCCATTTTTGCTGATACTGTACATACAGATCCTCTCTATCTTGTATGTTGGAGGGATGAAATGTGCAAATCCTTTCATGGGGGCTGGTGGGTAAAACAAGGTTAAGACTACCTCTTCAACCTTTTAGGGATCCGGTCTCTTTGGCTCTAGGGACACCATGTTTGTTACTCTGTCCTTTTTGTGATTGCGCCATACATTTTGGGGACATAAAGGGCTACTGTACATCTACTACATGATTATTAAAGTCAGTAGGAAGCTGGTCTGTGAGAATTTCTGCTGGTCAGTTATATATAGGTAGATAAAATAAGTTGCAAACATAAGAAATTCTATCTATTTCATTATTGATCTTTGCCTCAGAAGGTCTCCCACTTTCTGAGCCTCAACATTAAAATACCAAAGTAATTCAGGGCAAGGGGATGTGCAATAATAAAGCAGATGTTGCATTAAGAAATGCTAAGGAAAAGGGCAAGCATAAGCTGGAGCTGGGTTAATATGTACTGAATTTCAAGATTTGACAGCATCTGTGTCTCTCTGAAAGCAGTGGGAATTATTATTTGTATTTGTTTTTCAAGTGTACAGTATATGTGCTTGCCAGTAAAAATATCAGAATAGTAAACACAACATTAATGTCTCTCATACTGAAAGTATGAAAGCAAGATTCAGCAATAAAGCTGTAACTTTGAGTTATGCCTCAGGAAAAACCAGCATAAATACAGATCTTAAGGAGATAAAATTTCAGTATTTTACATGCCTGACTGATATCAGTTAGGAATGACTTACAGAGGGCAGATACTGAACTGTTAGATGTTCTGTTGCTAGTAGATTAATCTAGAGATGGGAAGACATGGGGGGAAATGGGAAAACCCTGGAGGTGGGGACTGGTTTTTTCCCAAAAGCCTTTTTTTCTGGAAAATTGGAAAAAATGGAGTGTGGAATATGCTATTTTACAATGATAAACAATATGTGTTACATGGTATTCAAACTAAATAACAGATGTAACATTTCTGAAAATTTCCAATTTTTCCCATGGAAAAGCAGGGGAAAATGTAGGGGGATTTTTTGGAAAAAATTGAATTTGTGGGAAAGTTTGGAACTCTAGATAAATTTCAGGGCCACTTAAAATGTTCAGAAATAGTCTTCCTAAGAAGAGGGGTGACTGAGCAGGGCATAAGGCATAAGCCAATCTCTAAGACCGAGTGTTCCCAAGCTCTTTTAGGTGTTACATACTAATAGTAATCCCTAGTTTATGGGCAGCCAGTGTTGCTTTTTAAAAGAAAGATGTGGCATGCTTTAGGAGGAAGACTTAACGATAGCCCTATATAGAGCACACTGGGATGTCATCTTGTCAAGTTCATAAAATTATACATAAGTATATAGCTTGGTAGGAGATCTGAGGTTCCATCATCTATCTGATTGTAACCAAAATCCTTTGGGTCATCAACAAAAGTCCACTGGACAGTCAGATAAATTATAGATTCTTCATACAGGTGAGATTTGATTGGTTTTATTCAAACTTTGCCTGGCCCTTGAAACAGCCCTCAGAGAGGCAGGTCAACACTGTAAACTTACCTGGATCCTGAAATATCATATTGGGAAAGTTTGCCATATAACAAGACATATAACTTCTTGGAATATAAAAGTCAATGCATGCTTTTGAATCTTGACTAGAGATGGGGGTATTGGTATACGAATATGAATATCCCCGCACAGGTGAAAATAATGAGAGACCGGCCCCATGGGGCCAGACTGTCCACTCACGATTTCGCCGCTGCCGCCAGCTCTGTGGAGGCTTCCTATCACACTGTTCTCTGCAATGGATTAGCCACTCTCCAACCTAGCAGAGAGGCTTGTCATCCCACCTCTTGGCAGGACTGGGTAATTGATTGTGGACAACAGCGCAATAGGAAGCTTCTGTGGAGCCAGTGGCAGCAGCAAAATTGTGAGTGGACAGTCCAGCCACATGCGGCCGGACCCTCGTTATTTCTACCTGTGCAGGGATATTCATATACAAATACCTCAGTCTCTGACCTTGACCTGAAGACAGCTGGAAATCAACATGAATTATTACAGCCAGTAATCTATGGAACTACTAAAGACAAATTCAGGCTTATCCCCTTAGAACCCCTATTTTAGGTTGACCCGATATCCTTGCTTTATATGCAGTTCTGTTTACTAAGTACTTTGTCTCGTGGGTTTCTTGAAACACCAGCTGCACAGTCCTCTAATTAAAAATAAATTTCTGCCATAACTAAACATCCCTGGATCTTGTGACTTCAGAATCCAGCCTGAGTTGCAGCTAATATGGTGAAGTAGGAAATGTAGCAAGGAGGCTCTAACAATAAAGCATTTTTAACTCAATCATTGTCATTGCCACCACTCCTCAAAAGAGTCATCACTGCAGAATAATTTGGCAATTGTTTAGGGTTGTTTTTTAATTTATATGACCAGTGCTGGTTGACTTTTGTCTGGTAAACACAGGAATTTTCCTTAAGAATTGGCAGGCCTTGAGGCTGACAGTCACAAGGTTTCCCTCAGAAGCATTCAACAAAGACATATTTTACTGTCTTCTAGACTTTCACTAAATTTTAGTGGCCGAGTTTCATTTGCTCTGTGATGCAGGTAAGTTTGATGCAATATTATTAGATGGTTACCTGAACTACAAGATAGCCCTTAGTACACTAGAAGTCTGTTCCCTGCCTTATTGACATTGTTGAGTTTATGAAAACAGACATGACTCATTGCATTTCATATGAGAAAAGGTCAGTGGTGAATGGAATGGCAGAGGAAGGAATGGATACATTTTGTTTGCTGTTAATGCTGACTTACAGTGACCCTTATCTGGGTTTTCTAGATACACAGTACTCAAGATTGATTTACACTTCTCTTCTTCTAATGATGCTCTGGGACTGTGCAGCTTAGCCAAGGTTACACAGGCTGGCTTTTCACCTGAAAAGCACAGTGGTGAATCAAATTCCTGACCTCTGACTCCTCAGCCAGGTACCCAACTCACTCAGCCAGGAATACCCTTTTATAAAAAAGGTGTATATAAAATACTGTACATACTAATCCAGATTCCAGTTCACATGAAATCTAGCCACTACTACAATTTATATCTACTGCTTTCTGCTTAGAAGTTAGCTTTGAATACTGGGATTATATGGGAGAGCGCAACTAGTTAGCCACTGGGTAAAACAGGTTGATAGACCTGAATTTGGTCTACCAGAACTCTGAAGGCCTGAAACACCTGGCACATATAAAAGTAATGTGCCCTTTAAAAAAAACCAAATCACCCCTAGATGTATACCTCCAAGGATCATTTTGCAAGGATGACAAGTCTAGACTATATAGCCTTGTGACTATGGGTGTGACAGAAACTCTATTCAGATATTGATCTGAATACATTAATAGGGTTATATTCATAGTGGGCGAGACAGGGATACACTTGAGCCCTTCCCTCCATGTCCTCACCTCCTTGAAGCCAGTGAGACCTTTGTGCCTGAGTGCAGAGATCCGAAGAGAAGGCTGTAATTGTGTTTGGCTACAGCAAGGTTTCAAATTACAGAGAACAGAACTGTCCCCATCCAGAAGCTTTAGGGAAGTTGTACCTCCATTAGTCTGCTAACATGATATAAATTCCCTTTGCCAGTTTAATTTTGTGTGAGGTAGAAAAGCAGAAAGAAACAATCCCAAAACTTGAAAACAAACAGCTCATATGAACTCACATATGAATAAACTGATTTTATAAGATGACTCATGTAAAATACTGTTTCTGCTTTGTCTACTGTTACTAATGAATAAACATCTCTTTTGAAATTTCAGTTGTAGTCACTCCAGGAATGTCATGATTCAGCAAAGTGGCACCTGAATGTACAGCAAAAAGAATGGATCAACAGACAGAAAAGAAGCAACATACAGTATTTCTACGTTGCACTTTGTTGTTGTTATCAAGTCACCTATGGTGACCCTATGAATGATCAGTCTCCAAAATGTCCTATCCTCAACAGCAATGTTCAGCTTTTGCAAACTCAAGCCTGTGGATTCCTTCAGGGAATTTGGTCTTGCTCATTTCCTGCTGCCTTCAGCGTTTCCCAGCATTATTGTCTTTTCCAGAGAATCTTACCTTCTCATGTTATGTCCAAAGTTGGACAGTCTCTGTTTCATAACTTTTGCCTCCAGAAAGTTCAGGCTTGATTTGTCTATAACCTACTTGTTTATCTTTCTGGCAGGATACCAACAAAGGTCTCCACAACGGAATCTTTTTTTGTTTTGTCCACTTTCTTCACTATCCAACTTTCATACCCATACACAATGATTGGGAATACAAGGTCTAGGTCTCTACTGACATTCTTATACCTGATGATCTTTACTAAATGCTGCTCTACATAGTCCGTCTTCTTCTGATTTATTGGCTGCAGTCTCCCTTTGAATTGATTTTTGCTAGTAAGATGGTTATCTACATACCTTAAATTACTTCTTCCACCAATTTTTAATCCTCCCTTCATCTGAATCTAGTCCAACATTCCATATAGTATGTTCTGCACAGAGATTGAACAGATAAAGGGATGAAATGCACCCTTGTCTGATACCTTTGTCTATATAGAAAACCCTCCCATCTCTCCATATTCTGTCCTAATTGGAGCTTCTTGTCCACAATAGGGATTATGCATCAAGTGCTGATGTGTACCACTTTATTTCAGAACAACTCATAGTTTCTCAACAACCACACAGTCAAAGGCTATGTTGTAGTCCATAGTAAAGAGTTTATATAAAGTTTAACTTAGATGGAGAATAAAGAGAGAACATTATCAGGACATTTAAAGTTTGTTTAATTTTATAAAACATCACTGGTTGCAGAAACAGTTCTAACAGAGTTCTCAACATTTTAAAGCTGTATCTGAAACATTTGGACCTGTGTCTGAATAAATGGGTATCAGAAAATGTTACATTAACTGTCCTAGCATCCAAACAATAATAATGACTGTGATTTCGTAGAAATAGGTTCATTTTACAGATTGAAGTGCAGATCAGGTTGCTGTTTCCAATGTTCATTTTGAAATAGTGTTACATTAACTGCCCTAGCATCCAAACAATAATAATGACTCTGGTTTAGTAGAAATACGTAGGTTCATTTTACAGATTGAAATACAGATCAAGTTGCTGTTTCCAATGTTCATTTTGAAATAGGCCTATTTCTAGGCAAACTACCATAACTACCTATGAGAAGGAATTAAATAAGAAACTGAGGAATCTGTATGTTGTTTTCCTATATCTGACTACAATGAATAAACTGCAGTGAATACACTTCAATGTCATGATGCACTTCTGGACATCAAGAGGAAGGATGTTGTGGAAATACTTCACAATAGTGTTGTATTCCCTCCCCCTTCTTTTTGTCATATTGCAGTTCCACTTTATGAGATGGAACAGTCTTTCAGTATATGTGTATCTGTGCAACAATCATAAATAACTGGCTCTCAGGGTTCAGGCTGGAATCAGAGCTACTTATTAATGACAGCTAATACACTCTTTGTCAAAAGTGAGAGAAGAAAATACCCAGTTCAAAGAGTCAATGTAAATATAAGATTTCAAGCTATTAATTCAAGATAATTATATCAGTCTAAATTCTAGGAGGTATATGAACTGGTTGATTTAACTAGCAACTCTAAATGGGAAGATTAAAAATGTTGCAACAGAAAGGCTTAGTCAATTCTTAGAAGTGAACTCAGCCTTCAATATCATGAAAATAACATCTGCTTCACATCTTCAGTAGTCCTTCAAGATGCTGGAATGATAATAGGCCACTCACTTGGTATCAGTTCTGTTTTGTTTTGTTTTCCACATTATAGGCACATTGTCTTGTATTCTTCAGAAAATAATGACCTGTTAGGGAAGATTATAGACCTCACTATAATCATTTCAGAAGATGAGCTGTCATGGATTTGGGAATATACACTAGACAACTGTTTGTCATAATCATAAACGGCAGAAAGTTAAGATACAATCTCATATGGGTTAAAGTAGACAGTACTTGTTAAGAGAGCCAACACCAGAAAGTTCATTAAGGAAGTAAATTGTGGAACTGTCCTCTTATTAGGCAACTTCAGAACTCATAAGCCTTATATCCTTTTTTTAAAATAATAGGATTTGTAGTGTAAGATCTGGAGAATATCACGTTAGGGACAGCTATCCCAGATTTCATAGAAATGTTAGGTTAAAATTACTAAAAAATAGTAGTGTTTTTTTAATCAGCAACAATCATGGCTGTTCTTATATATTTAGTTTCTCTGTGTCTTCTTACTTACATTCTCTTGGTGGTTGTAACTATAGTCTTTCTTTGAATCAGCTGTTGAATGAAGAGAGAATATTTGCATAAATTCCATTGATTCTATGGATCTACTCTAGCTAACTAGTCTCCATTAAAGGAACGGCCTTCTGAAATCTGAGATACTAGCAGCATGTCCAGGTAGGAAAGAAATCTGAAAACAGGCCCATGTCATAGACTGACATTGGCAGGCACTCCAGAAGAAGGTATATGAGCCCATTTCTAGACTTGCCTGCCCCTCCTCCTCCTCCTCACTGCAGCACAGAAAGGTAAAGGAACTGTAATTGACTGGGCAGTGATGCATATTGGGCTGAGAACAATGAAAACTGAGTGGTGACAGTGATAAGGAGGTGGGTACTCTGACAACATCTTACCCAAGCTGTCTCTCATCCCAAATGTGGAGCCAACACCATCTGGTAAGAAACTAAAAATTGTAACATGTTCATTAGATATTGGAATGACAATATCATGATAATTTGCCCGCCCCTCCTCCACCTCACTGCAGCACAGAAAGGTAAAGGAACTGCAATTGACTGCGCAGTGATGCATATTGGGCTGAGAACAAGCCAATGAAAACTGAGTGGTGACAGTGATAAGGAGGTAGGTACTCTGACAACATCTTACCCAAGCTGTCTCTCATCCCAAATGTGGAGCCAACACCATCTGGTAAGAAACTAAAAATTGTAACATGTTCATTAGATATTGGAATGACAATATCATGATAATTTGATTCCTACATTTTGTTGGTACTCTTATGATCTCTCCAATTGATTTCTTATGCAGTAAGTAAATCAATAAACACATAAATAAAGAGTTCCAGGTTAGTGAGTGAAGATCTGGAGGGTCAGGGCCTCTCATTTTTCAGTTTCAGAACCATAGTAAGGATGTAATCCTGCTTAAGCATGGTCCGCAACTACAACCCTTCAGATGCTTTTGACTTACAAGTCCCAGCAGCTCTAGCCAATGATCAGGGGTTATAGGAATAACCTCTGAAAGACTAGTGTTGCACATTCCTGTATTTAAGGAATCAAATAAAGATGCAGTTATCCTCCAGCAGCCAATCACACAGATGTTTTTAAAAATGTAATGCAACACATTGACAAAAAATAAGCTTAAAAACTGATTATGTGAGTGTGGACTCATTTTGTTGATAAATGGACAAAGCATAATAGCAAGTTTCATTTCTTGAAATCTAACACACAATCTCATTTAATAACAGCATGATGTTATTGACATAAGGATTCACTCTAAAATTAAGGCAACATATTCATGGGTCAAAATCCTAGTACTGGCATCACTAAAATGGTACTATATACATTTGGAAGGCATGTGTCACCAAAAGTTACACCATTTAACTTACATCTGCAATAGGATTTTGGCCATTAACGTCACAAAGTTTCTTGAAATCTAACACACAATCTCATTTAATAAGAGCATGATGTTATTGTCAAAGGGATTCACTCTAAAATTAAGGCAACATATTCATGGGTCAAAATCCTATTACTGGCATCACTAAAATGGTATACATTTGGAAGGCATGTGTCACCAAAAGTTACACCATTTACCTTACATCTGCAATAGGATTTTGGCCATTAATGTCACAAAGGTATCAACAGAATCAGGATTTTAAAGCCCCGGACCCAATAGCTGCTGATATCCATGTCTTACTCCAACATAAAAACAATGGTGTAAACTGGAACAGCACGAGTTAAGAAACTGCCGCTTGTATCCATCATCTCTTGGTAACATGCAAATAGCAGGTGTTAAGGAGTACATACGGCAACTTGTTCACAAACAGCAATTCGCTGCTGCAGTTTACGTCACTGCACTTATTCCCAAATAACCAACCAATAGGATTCTGGCCAGTAATTTCTTTACATAATATCAGAAGTAAACTATGTGGAGCAAAGGTATAAGGCACCATCGGTGATCTGCATTTGGCAGGTAGGTATATAAAAACAGATGAAAATAAATGCTAACATATTAAGGTATACATTTGTAGTGAAAGTGGCAAATACCGCTCCTTGCTTGTCTTATTTTGTCAAATTCCTTTAAATAATTATATGTCTTTTGAGGATGATTTGAATCCACAGCTGAAAATGCTTGTGATATACATGACATAAAAATGGTAAAACCATTTGGCCTTTGCTCCTCCCTCACCATTGTCCAATCCTTTTAAAAAAAGAGAAAGCTCAACAGGTGCAGGGCTCTTTGGTGAAAGTGGCAAATACTGCTCCTTGCTTGTCTTATTTTGTTAAATTCCTTTAAATAATTATGATACGTCTTTTGAGGATGATTTGAATCCACAGCTGAAAATGCTTGTGATATACATGACATAAAAATGGTAAAACCATTTGGCCTTTGCTCCTCCCTCACCATTGTCCAATCCTTTTTTAAAAAAAGAGAAAGCTCAACAGGTGCAGGGCTCTTTGTCTTATCCTCTTCCCTCCATTTGCTAGAAAGCATCACAACCAAAGAGTTCTATCCGAAGTGCAATGCTCTGATTCCATGTTTTGGGAATGACACGAATAAACCGGGAAAATATGGGTGGTTTGAAGAAGTGCTTCACCTGCCCTCTGCTGTTAATATTTCCTGTGAACATCTAGAAAGAAACCCAAAATAACTAATTAGTGAAAGTGCAGAAGGAAAGTATTCATTTAAAAAAAAAACAAATACCTCAGAATTCCTGCTGTCGATCATGGAAAGAACAGTTGGGCGTCTCAGATTTTCACTCCTATGCAAAGCAGCTGCTTTCTCTACTTTCACAGAAATTTAGGAAGTTGTGTAGTAAGACCAGTGACACAGTGTTTGACCTCTGGCTGACAGTGGCTCTCCTAAATCTGGGAGCAAGAGACCTTTCCCAAGCTCATATCCCCCAAGTTGTCTGCCACTATGCCCCAATCCTGTAGCCACCAAAGCACCACGCACTTGTCTCATACCAGTGGCTTCATAATGTAGGCCCTTGATACTGCTAATGCTGCTGGTGGAATATATTTCATCCCTGTTGCTCATCTTCATTGTAAAACACTCTTTAAGATTTAACTCAATTTATTTATTTATTTATTTATTTATTTATTGGACTTATATACCGCCCCATAGCGCTACAAGCACTCTCCGGGCGGTTTACAATTTTTAATTATACAGGCTACACATTGCCCCCCCAGCAAGCTGGGTACTCATTTTACCGACCTCGGAAGGATGGAAGGCTGAGTCAACCTTGAGCCGGCTACCTGGGATTTGAAATTCATCTTCATTATAAAACACTCGTTAAGATTTAACTTAATTGCTCTATTCTACTTGTTAACCATATCAAATATTGTCTGGTTCCTGCATTGCTGTAAAAATTCTAGATATTTGGTGAAAGATCAAGCAGTAGTGTCAAGAGGGTGGCAACGTTCATTTAGTTCATATTTCCATACAAATTGACCAAATTTTCAATTCTCTAACTAAGATGCAAACCAGATTGCAATCATCCTGTGTTTTCTACGTTTCCTTGAATTTTGCAATGCTATTTTCCTATGTAACAGTTTATACAGAAATTAATGCACTGTTGAGAATTGTATACACAAGTCATATATTGGGGAAACTGCACCCAACAAAAAAAGTATATATTATGGGATAATGGTTTCAAAAATATGTACATTAGGAGAGTGTACAAAAATGCTTATGAATTTTCAAATGGACTTTAATTCACTAAGTGATGTGAAAATTGAATGGAAGGAATTGGGTTATTGTTTTTTAATTTAAAACTGAAAATGACAGCTTGGTGCATCTCCTGTACAGAATCACAGATCTCTAGCTGGCAAATTAAGTACTGTTGAAGAGGCCATCAATGAACATAGAGGATAACTATCATTTTTGAGGTTTATAATACTCTTGAGGCTCATTTAAAATCTACGGAGAGGCAGCAAGTACCTTTTCCCTGGACGTTGTGTCATCCAGGTAAGATGTCCATGCTGAATTATCATCACTGTAAAGGATGGCAAATGTTTTCACATACATTTCAGTAGTCATTGATTTGGCGCCTTGAGTTATGATACCTGTTATCTTCTTAGGTTGAAGGAGATCAATTTGCAGCCATTGTTGATTGTTATTTGACTGTGGAATTAATAAGTACAATAGTAATATTGTGTCATTTATTAACTACAGGCTTAGTATATATCCAGAATGTTGTCAATCCACTAACTTCCACAAATATACTGTATACAGAGACAGAATGCAAAACTGAGACTTTGGTGTCTAACTGTCAGTTCTAGAGCATTCCTAAACTGAGGAAGGGAACATGAGGATGCTGATCTTAGAACTGCAGAGCTGAAAGGGACCTTATGCAATCATCAGGTCCAGCCCCTATCAAAGAAGTACAGTGGGGAATTGGACTCCCAGCTTTTGGCTCTACAGCCTAATGCCTACTCATGAAGATGTGTTGAGCAAAGGGAGTGGGGGGAGAGGCAGAACAATCTAATATTTCAAAGTGCCACATTCCAATCATCTCAAGGGACAACAGATAGCACATTTTACATCCTGATATAAGATATTTGGACCACTGAAAGACTACATAATATGTTTTTTGACCTCTTCAGGGATGGCTATTTCAAGAGAGTTAATAAAACAAGATTGAAACAGAATTAATAATTGGAGTAGCTAGCAGCATAGAAGCAATAACATAGGTTATGGGTGAACAACAATAAGGCACTGGATGAGAGGAACAGATGTATAAAATGCAAATCAAGAAAACAGGACAGAATTTGTATGGAGCCCAAAAGTTACAAAAAGAAAGGAGCCAGGTGTAGCCCTGAGAAGGCATTTGTCTAACAGCCATCCTTCTAATCAGATAGCAAGATAGCATAAGACTTTTTCACAAATAATGGCTTCTGGTGAAGATCTAGCTGCCAGGCAAGTTCATGCAACATCCCAATGTAAAATTACTTCCGTCATGGAAAGAATGCAATTTAGACATTATAGTTTTCACAACACAGTTACAGATGTTTAAACGTACATGCTAATTGAAAATCATGAAAACAAAAAGCATATGTTTGAAAACACATGTACCGCACAGAAACGTTCATAAAAAGGCAGAAGTGACTACTACTCACTTGTGGGTACACAATTTATTTAGCTGAAAGGGGGATGAGATATATTTTTAAAAACACAAATAAACGAACAATCACGGAAGCATCCACTTTGTCTTTACCTTTGCTTGCCAGGCATTTGTCCGTCCTTTTAGATTGAGGCGGGCTAGCGATGGCTCCCATGAACTCCACCAGGTCTTCTTGTAAGACGAGGCTGTGATCTGTGCATTTGTGATAGATCCACTTTCCATTCCCAGGGGCATAGAGCAATCTGTGACAGAAATGTGGGCACACCTTTGTTAGAACACCTATGCAACAGAATTGGTTGGGGTGAAAAACCAACAGCCTTCCAAAAGTTGTTGGACTCAAAGTCCAGCTACTGATGGCCACTGTGATGCCAGCTGGAGTTGACAGGAGTTGAAACTCAAACAATATCAGGAAGGGGAAAAGGGTTTCTCATATCTGACTTGCAGGAACATATACCATACAATCATATTTCTGTTAATGAATGGATCAAGGATTTTCCCTCTTTATTTCTTCCTTTTTACCTACATTATGTCTCTCATAAAATCTTCCTATTGCACATGCACTGTTTCTAACATGAGAATCGTTCTGTAGATACAAAGCATGTCTAAACAGACATCCCAGAAGTCTCCCTCTTACTTGTAGGCAGGGACTCAACATTTGGAATTAAATTGTTCTGTTTCTTTACACTTCTCACATTGCTCTCAGTGAGTGTTGTTCAAAGCACAACCAAGTGTGAATCCAAAACAGTGAAATATTCAAGTTTTCAGTACAGCAAAATCTGGCACTATGAATATAAACAGTCAAATTATGTTACCAGGTCAAATTTAAAAGATTCCAAAATCTGGCAGGGGAAGAATAAATCAGTTTCAGTGTGGATTCTGAACAGCCATACTTCTTTATTTTAAGTATTTTGGCCTTTGTAATATTTTGACCCCTCCATCAAACCTCTTAACAGCGTAAAGGGACCATGTGCTTTCATATCTTACCTCCCGTTTCACAACCCAGGAGTTCCATGCGAAGTGCCGGCCTGTTATAGAACATGTTTGGATACAGCCTGATATACCGAGCAAGAATAGGAGGATCAAGGCGGTTTTCTTTTATTTCATTACCATCTGAATTCCCTTCAAAAAGCTAAAAGAAAGAAAAGCTGTTGGAATGATTGTGCAATGTTTGCTCATTTTACTATAAGGATAAACATTCAAGTGAGTAACACATGTTATGTGGATTCTTCCAGTTGCTGACACTGGGAAGGTTGAACTATAATGTCTCTGATCCACTTCTAGTTATGGGAAACTGACCAAAGGAACTAATTACAGGCTCTAACTGAGGACATGCATCAAAATATCTACCCAGCCAGTTCAGCAAGCCCAAGGGACATTGCATTAAGTAAACTGACATTTTTATTTGCATTGGCTACATGCAAAGAAAGCTATTGTCACATTCATATCTCCCCTGCTACTTCACAGCATACATATGTTTAGTGTATGTATATGTATTTAATACAGTGGCAATCCACAGCTAGGGAAGAAACAGAATTTTTGTTATGTATTTAAATAGGTTTAAAAAATGAAGTGACCGAATGTTTGATTAGAAAACCACACAGAAAAATAGAATTCATTTTAAGATAGAAAAATGTAATCTGTTCATACTGTGAATTTCCCCCCTGATCCTCCAAATAGCTATGTTTGTTTGTTCCTGCCTCTTATCTGTAGACTCCTTTCTGAGAGGATCAAGAAATTTTGTTTTTTAAGGTTGGTTGGAATCATATTTTTCATGATGCTACTGCAAAAAATATGCGTATTCAAGTCTAACATGATACAGTAGCAAACTAGCCCCAAACACTGTATGAAACCCTGAGCATGTAGTGTTTACGAATGTTCCTTCTTGATTACTCTCAATGAAATCTTAAGTACTTTGAATACTGGAAACATACAGACCTTTTGTGTTCCTGTGTGGTTGCCTTTAAAAACATTCCACTTTCTCCCATTCTTACTATATGTAATAAAATAGTCCATTATATACAAATGTTTCAGCATCTGCATAGCTCCCTGTGTTTTAACACCTGTGATTAGAACTTCTCTTTGTAGATCCACCTGCAAAAGAACACAGTAATTAACCCATAAAAATAACAAATGCCATATTTATTAAAAGTGTGTCTTCAACAGTTTTATAGAGGAAACTTGCTGTGACTTAAACATTAGTGTGTAAGTGGACTGATTCCAGTCAAAGTCCTATCTAGTCCATCATTCTATTTTCACAATGGCCAGACTAATCGCTGTAGGAAGCCCACAAGCAAAGCATGGGCATAAAAGCTGTTAGCAGAGCAGGCAGCAGTTAATGTAACTTGTGGATTCAGTCTTGGAACATTGCAACAATTAGCAGAGCACACTCCCGCCTTTGAAAGACATTAGATCCACACTTCTTATTGTAAAAAAAGTAAGAGCTAGTGTTTTTAGAGAAACAGATTGGACTAGGAAGGAATCCCAGCTCTAGCAGAGAGGTGCAGAGAGCCCCGGCTGCCCTCACTCTCTCAAAAGCAAAGGCAAGGTGTCTCTTCCGTCCTCTCTCAGAAATGATCGAGGAGGAGATGTGAGAAGAAACTATCCAGACTACAAACACCAGTTTAGGTTGAAGGAAATATCAGCATAAGTCAGACTAGGAAACCTGAGGACCTCCTCCTGTCTCTATCTTTCCAATGACAAAATGTGCCTGTTCAGTGTAAGCGAGCTTTTTATCCCATCACCTCCAGCAATAGCTGGAGTGAGACAGAGTGAGAAGATGAGTAAAAGGCACTGAAGCCAAGCTGCTTTTAGGGATGGGATTTGGTTGGAAGCAGCAGCAGCAGCTCTGGTCAAGCCTGTCCTGTAGGGGTGGCTTCAGTTCCTTCCAACCAGCTCTAATGAGAGTTTGTGTTACTATCAGTGTCACCAAGGAGACCCTCCTCACTTCCCCTTTAGCAGTGGCAGACCTACATTTTGGGGCTCCCAAAGTCTGAACTGTTATAGAGGCCCATTTTCAACCGCCAGCCAGAATTCCTTTTTGAAACTTAGAAACAACTTTATTTTAAATCTGTGGTCATAAAATATGTTGCTTCTGTGACCAAATGATACCTGGATCCAAGGGTGTTCATTGCTCTTCTTCTCAGTGCTCCAAGCATTGTATTTCCCAGCCCCGTTCAGTCTTGCCAGCTGAGGCTTCCAGTATCCTGGAGAGAAGCAAAAAAGGAAATCTGTGGGAAACAAATACTGAAAAGCAGGCTCAGTTGCATTGTAGATGGAAACACCAGTTTGCAGTAGATTGAAGGAAGATTGGAAAAAAATACCAGATAATATAAACAGTAATTATTAACTGATACTCAGTGTGACGTAGTGGAAAGACTGACACCCTAGGATTCAGGAGGCCTGAGTTTGAATCCCTGTTCAGGGATGAAAACTCAAAGGGGAGTGGTGGAACTGGCAAAATCATAAATTTTTCACTTACTTGAAATTTCATAAATATTTCACTTATCTTGAAAGTCCTATTTGGGCCTTCAAGTTCCAACTTGAAGGCACATAACACCAAATTAGGTATTAAGTAAAATGAGTATATGTAGAAAAATTGCTCTTGGGTACAAATGATACTGCATTAAGTTTTAATGATGTAGCATAATCTACCTTTGCATATGCTATATTTATTTATGCTACATTTGGAAACCACTATGTGGAATTTGCTAGTCAGGTGGAATAGACATATTTAAAACAGACAGACAAATAGACAAATGATGACATACACTGTTTACCACCTAATTACTATAAGTTAATCTTGGCTCTTTTAGTACTATGGAAGTTGCAGGGATGTGGTGGCACTGTGGGTTAAACTGCAGAAGCCTCTGGGCCGCAAGGTCAGAAAACCAGCAGTTGTAAGATTGAATCCACATGACGGAGTGAGCTGCTGTCACTTGTCCCAGCTCCTGCCAACCTAGCAGTTCGAAAGCATGTAAAAATGTGAATAGATAAATAGGTACCACCATGGTGGGAAGGTCACTGCATTCCACGTCTAATTGCGCTGGCCATGTGACCTGGCCATGAGAACTGTCTTTAGACAAATGCTGGCTCCACAGCTTGGAGATGGGGATGAGCACCGTGCCCTAGAGTCGGACATGACTGGACTAAATGTCAAGGGAACCTTTTCCTTTACCTTACTATGGAAGTCAATGCTTTCCACAATGAAATAATTAAAGTGAAAATACAGTGTTGGGCTACTTGTGCTTTGGAGAAAGTGAGTTTTAATTACAGGAGAGGTGTACTGTGCAAAGAATACAGGGACAAAGGCTAGAATTTACACTGTTACATATTCTACATAATGTCTTACATTCCTTAGCTGTGAAATTTAGTTTACCTGTGTGACCTGAAGCACTAATTTGTGAGTCTTGTATAATACCACTTTCCAATCCCATTGGTAACCTGCATTCTGTAGAGAAGAACATCAAACATTTGATCAGTCTTATAAGTGAGACATAGTAACTAATGTTGGACAGGGACTTAAGAGATTCAGGTTCCCCCCAGTCAGCCATTAAATTCACTGGGTCAGTTTGAGACACTCATTCTCATATGGCTTGACCTAGTTCACAAAGTTGTTGTGAACATAAAAGTAGGGAAGAGGAAAAACGTGTATACTACGCTGAGTTCATTAATAGGAAAGTGGGATATAAGAATAACTAATAAATAAATGTGTAATAAGCTATGGCACCAGGCAGAGCAATCTTATATTCTTATTAAGTTAGGGGACAGAGTGTATATACAATTGTTACCAGGCATGGGACTTTCATGCTTATACAAAAGAGGGGGGAGGGACATACCATAGAGACTCTCTCTTTTTTTTCTGTTCTATAACTGATTACTGAAAAAGAGCTTTTAAACACAAATGATTTACAGTATATTAAAAATGAGGCATTCATGAACGTTTTGTGTTTTTCTCACATTCCCTCTTCCATGTATCTTTTTTGGGCCCTTTCTTTCACCTTTTGTCTGACAACTTATCTAAAAACTATTTCATTCATAACCTTTAAAAGATTTCCTATTGTTAACAAGGTATTGTTAGCAAGTATACTAATTTTAGCTGTATCTTTAATGCCAATGCCTGGAATCTCTATGTCTTGTCTAATAGCATTCACTAATACTTCTACAACTACAGTAAAGTGAACAATACAGGGGAAAGGGGGCATCCCTGTCCAGTACCTCAGCCTAAGTGACATCTGTTCTTTAAGTATTATTCCATCATTTATTAATTCTGCTGTGGTATTCTCTGAGTATACTTGAGCTATTATTCCTTTAAAACATTTACCAAAACCTATTACCTTAATTATAATTTTTAATGTTGACCATTCCACACAATCAAGTGCCTTAAAATAGCTAATGAAATTATATTTGCCTTTACCTTTGGTTTATATATTCTATTTATTATATTTAGGGCTCTCCTCATCAGATCTGCCATTTTCCTTTCTGGCATAAAATATGTTGCTCTTCTTTAATGTATTTAGTAATAAAAATATTCACTCCCTTTGGTGATATAACTGAAAAAAAATCTTAGCATTTTCATTTATTAGAAAAATAGATCTGTACGTTTCAAAGTCAGTAGAGTCTTTATTCATTTTTAAAAGTATAATTATAAATTGCCTCAGGGATAATGGAATCTTCCCCCCCCCCTGTTATTTTACTGAAAAGGGCTTTAATTTAGGTACCACTTTTGTTTCTAAAATTGTTAATATACTTTGATACCAATCCATCCATTCCTGGTGATTTCTCTACTTTTAATTTATTAATTATTTCCTCTATCTATTCTTCTCTTTTTGACTGTTCCATTATATCTCTATGCATTTCTTGAAATCTATTCTTCACATTTTTCTCTATATATTCCTTAATTCTTCCCAGAGCTAACTCAGTATATAATTTTAAAAAATTGGAAGGCCTTTGATTTATTTATCATCAGATTACACATTACAATGGTGCCCCGCTTGACAACAACCCCACTTGATGATGAAATCACTTGATGACAAGTTTTTTGCAATCGCTATAGCGATAGCAAAACGATGGCTCCTATGAGGTTTTTTCACTTTGCGATGACTATTTATTTATTTATTTATTTATTTATTTATTTATTTATTTATTTATTTATTTATTTATTTATTTATTTATTTA